TCTGGATGGATAAAATCTGCACTGGCACAGGTTGCCCAGAGAAGCTGTGGCTGCTCCAGCCCTGCAAGTGTCCAAGGCCAGGTTGGATGGGGCTTGGAGCAACCTGGGCTAGTGGAAGGTGTCCCTGCTCATGGCAGGGGTTTGGAACTGGATGATCCTTAGGGATCACAGACCATTCTGTGATCACGGCCTAATGACCACGAATTCACTGCCTCAAGCACTGGCTGTGTGCAAGCAGGTTGTTTTCCCACAGAACTAACACTGCTCTGAAGGTGCTGGAGCTGGGATGTCCTGCAGTAGCACTGGGGACACTGGGCACCACAGAGAAGGTTCTTCTCTGTCTTCAACACTGGCCAGCCTTCACTGTGTCCTGTGACTCCCTGGTTACCCACTGCTGTGAATTTTCCAACTGTGGTGTTATTCAGGTCCTGCTCGTTGGAGAACTGTCTGAGCTGGTTATTGAGCAACCTGGGACACGAAGCAAAGATGCCAGACTGAGTTCACACGACTCCTTCCACACCAAGGAATGGCTGCTGGGCTTCATTCGTGGTCCATCTACAAAGGAATTGAATTCAAGAGGAGCAAAACTAATACAACCACTCCTGGTCTCCAGGGGTTCACTCAGGGTGGAGAGATGACCTGGGAAGGTGCTGAGCTGGGACTGAGTCCCTGCTCTCCGTCCCTGCCCTGCTGCATGGCTGGAAGCACCTCAGTGTCAGAGGCTCCTCAGGTTCCCTCTCCTCAATTCTGACCATTCAGACCAAGCCTTGCACACAGTGCACTCGACCTGCTGTGTCCTGGGCTGGCAGAGCTGGGTGCTGCTGTGGGGTTGGGATGGTTTTAGCTTGGAGGCCCATGCAGGGATGGAATTGCTGTGCCAGCAATTGCTGTGCCAGCCAGGCTTTGCCATCAGTGCTCCCAGAGCTGATGAGCTCTCAGGGAAGGCTCTCTCCTTTTCCACATTTGGGGAGCAGCTGAGGGTCTCTGACCCCAGGGGTTTGGGCCACTGTTACAGTTATTACAGACAACACCATGACCATGACACCTACATAAGAGGAGCTGTATCTTCAAGGAGCCTCTTTTCCCTTTGTTCACTCTTTTATCTTTTTATCCTTGCTGAATTTATCAGAGCATCTTTCTCCCTGCCCTCCCCTCTCTGGCTTTTGCATGATGCCTTTCTGCATCCTCTGGCAGACTTGAGCACAATCTTTTAACATTTTTCTCTACCTGCATCTCAGCAGGATTTTCCTCCAGCACAGCTGGTGCAAAATGAGTGCATGGGAGTGAGGAGAGCAGGAATCAGTGGCCAGGAACGCCTCAGTAAGCTGCTTTTCTTGGCCTGAAGCTCTGGACCTTCCTGAGGGCTGGAAGGAGATGTGCAGTCTGTGTTGTTTGTTTATTTTTTAAGGGAAATGTGCTCTTGGGAGCTGCTCTGCTTGGCAATAACCTGGGTCCAGAGCTTCCAAGATGGGATTGAAGTGGCTGCTCTGTTCCTCACTTTTTCAAATTCTGAGAGCAAATAATACTCTGTCTACGGTTCTCTGACCCCTGAGCTCACCTGGACACGAGGAAACCTTGACCTTCCCTCTGAGCTGCTCCAAGTGTAGGGCAGGACCCAGGTGAGTCAGGGCATGGTGGGGTTTCTCTCTTAAAGGAAAAAAATCTGCTTTTCTGCTGCTGTTTCTGGTCTGCTCAGAGGGGGATGGCAACTGAGGGGATGTTTGAGGTTGTGTCCCTAAATTTTAGCCACTGTCCCTCACACAGGAGACCTGTGCTCCTGCCTCTGGAACACAAGCTGAAAGTCCTCTTTGTCATTTAACCAGAAACACCCCCAGAGATGGATCTGGGCTGTCCCAGGAGTCTCTGGGATCTGCTGTGCCAGGGCAAATAAACAGTCCCATGGGTGCTTGCCATGCTCCAAGTGTCCCAACCATCTGACAGGATCAGACCTGCAATATTGTACCGTTTTCTCTGCCCTGTCTCTGCCTTGCCAGATGGAAGTGCTGCTCCATTAAGCCCAGTCACCTGTCCCAGGCTTGGGATGGAGGTGAAAGTCCAGGGACATGCTTGGTTGCCTGGCAAAGCTGCTCAGGGCAGAGGAAGGCTCCTTGTTGAAGCAGAATCAGCCAGTGCTGGAGAGCAGAGTGATTTGCTCACCTCTGTCTTTGGGGCTTACGAGGAGGAGTTACTCATGACTGAATCCATTTTTAGAATTTGCCAGGGGATGCTCTTTGCCCTCCTGTAATGGGAGATTATGGATGTCTGACCTGTTTCAGCTCTCTAAATTTTTTGCTTTCTCTTAACTCCCCTGCTTTTCTCGTAATCTTAAAAAGCCCAACTAAATCCTGATGCTTCCCCTCTCAAAGCTGAATAATCCTTGCAATTGCAATCTCTTTTTCTTCTTTAAGGCTTTCAATGCTTAAGATCTGTGTGATCTTCCTTATGGTGTGGGGGGGAAAAAAACCAACAAAAAAACCACCCTGCCCCCCAAAAAAGCCCTGAGTACGCAGATTGAGGGAAGGGCAAACTGTGATTTCATAGAACATCCCCACGACAGGCTGGGATCATTTTCTCCTCGTCACAAACACCCCCACCACCCTGGCTCTGACTTCACTGCAGTGCTGTGGTGGGGAGCTTGTTCCTGGGAGAAACAAGATGGTTTGGTGGCTGTAGGAGGAGAGAAGGGGATGTGGAGGTCAGAATTTTCCCTCATTCTCAATAAGACCTGATGCAAAATACAACACTTCTTTTTTTTTTTCTTTCCACTTTTCAGAGCTGTTGTGTCATTCATCCACCCCACTGATCTTGTGTCTTGATCTTGATCTTGGTGGAAAATAACGTATTTCTTTTTTTTTCCCAGATGCTGATTTCCATCAGAAGAGGGTGGGGGATTATTTAAAATGGCATTTCCTCTTCTAGTGTTTACTGAGAAAAAGAGTCAGATTTTTCCAGTGAAAAAGGCCACAGAATATATTAGATATAGGGGCCAGAAACAGAGAAGTGAAAAATGTAGACAACTGAATAAATCAGCTGAGGGAAACTTGATTTTCATGTGAGAGATAAATGCATTATAGAAAGAAACACAGCAAGGATGAAAATGAAAATGTTTTTAGGGAAAACTTTAAAGAAAAGAGAGCATTCTCCTGCCCTGTTCATCCTGTGAGCTCCCCGCACCTCTACAAAACAAGGAAACTTTCCCTGAAGACCCATTTGTGTGGATCAGCTCAGCAGAGCTCGGGGGTGAAGAGCTACAGCAGGAAACACTGATTTTAACGTGTGCCCGGGGTCTGTTGGAGTGTAACAGGGATGCTGAAACACTTCAGCGTCTGTCTCTGTGCAAAGTTTTCCCCAAAGCCTCCAGCACTCAGTTTAAGCAGCAAATTAACAAAAACGGGGGTGGAGAAAAAGTCTTATTTTATTGCGTTCCCAGCAAGCACACGGGAAGGCAAACCGCGGATTGGAGCTGCTTCTTGCTGCCCTGCTCCCCTGGGCTGGCACAACCCGGGTGCCCGTGTCCCTGTCGGGGGGGCTGGTGGCTCCTGCTGTGTCTGACCCTCGAGGCAGAGGATGTTTCGAGGCTGCACCTTCTTCCCTCTCTCTTTTCTTCCGTGTCTCGGTGAGTTAGAGCCGCTCCCGGCTCCCCTCGGCAGCCGCTGCTGCCTCCGAGTGTGTCTGTGGCTCTGCTGCAGCGTGAGAGAGCCCTCCAGACACCAAAACCCCCTCGGGTAAAAAGCCAGTTTCTTCCAGAGAGTCACCCTTTGCCTCTTGCCAGACCTTATTTGTGTCACTTGTGGATGCTGCCAGCCCTGTCCCTGTCTCCCGAAGCCGGCAGATGTTATTGCTACAGGCTCGCCTGGTCGGTGGGTTGGTTTTGAACTGAGACAGCTTGGATGACTAAGGCAAAAAACACATTAGCAGCGGAGTCCAGGGTTTCCTTGCTGTGGGGGAAGCGAAAATGCCCCCCTGTTGACAGCCCTGACTTCTCCGGAGGGTCCCTTCTAAAAAGTTAATAGTTTGTATCCCAAATTTAGCCGAAATGCTAAAGCATTTCGTCCCCAGCCACTGCAGTGGCTGTTGCCGTGCGGCGCTCCAGGAACGAGGAGGAGTTCTCTCCCTGACTCGTGGTGGAGGGAAGCAACAGAGGGTGTTGGAATAAACAGGATTAAAGGATTTCGTCCATAAATACAGGATTAAAGGTATCCAGTGCTCTGCAGGAGTCATTCAAACCAAGGAGAAACAAAGTAAGTTGTCCAGAAGGGCGCAGCTCTCTTTCAATCCAGCACATCCCCGCACCGCTTTGTCCCCGGGCGCTGCTGCGGGGGCTGCACCCCCGGCCCCCCGCATCCCTCCCTGCCCCGAGGGCTACGGACTGAGCCCCCCGTTTGCCCCGCACCCCCAGTCACTGTCCCCCCCGGCTGAGCCTTCCCGGGGGCTGCTGATCGCACGGACGGGGGTGCTGGGGGTGCTGCGCGGTGGGGGCACCCCTGGGCGCGGCAGCTGGGCAGGGCAGGGCACATCTGGGCAGGGCACATCTGGGCAGGGCACATCTGGGCAGGGC